CTCTTGTTACCCAGGCTGGAGTGCAATGGCGCGATCTCGGCTCACCGCAACCTCCGCCTCCTGGGTTCAGGCAATTCTCCTGCCTCAGCCTCCTGAGTAGCTGGGATTACAGGCACGCACCACCATGCCCAGCTAATTTTTCGTAGTTTTAGTAGAGACGGGGTTTCACCATGTTGACCAGGACGGTCTCGATCTCTTGACCTCGGGATCCACCCGCCTCGGCCTCCCAAAGTGCTGGGATTACAGGCTTGAGCCACCGCGCCCGGCTGTCTCTAGATTTTTTAATGATTGACATTCTAACTGGCTTGAGATGGTATCTCAATGTGGTTTTGATTTGTATTTCTCTAATGACCAGTGATGATGAGCATTTTTTCATATGTTTATTGGCCACATAAATGTCTTCTTTTAAAAAGTGTCTGTTCATGTCCTTCACCCACTTTTGAATGGGTTATTTTATTATTGTAAATCTGTTTTAGTTCTTCATTGATTCTGGATATTCGCCGTTTGTCCAAAGGGTAGATTGTAACAAATTTTTTCCATTCTGTTGATTGCTGATTCAGTCTAATGGCTGTTTCTTTTGCTGTGCAGAAGCTCTGGAGTTTAATTAGATACCATTTGTCTATTTTGGCTTTTGTTGCCACTGCTTTTGGTATTTTAGTCATGAAGTCCTTGCCTATGCCTATGTCCTGAATGGTTTTGCCTAGGTTTTCTTCTAGGGTTTTTATGGTGGTATGTCTTATGTTTAAGTCTTTAATCCACCTGGAGTTAATTTTAGTGTAAGGTGTCAGGAAGGGGTACAGTTTCTGCTTTTTGCACATAGCTAGCCAAATACACACCCAGTAACTTGACTTGAAATTAATTGTAAAGAGTTACAGAATTTTATTTTCTGGTAAATGCTTGGAATGGATTTTTCCATAAAACATGTAACAGATGGGGATTTGGGTTCCAGTTCAGTCAAAATGCCTTTCTTCAGCTACTGAATTCTATTATTTAGAACTAACATGAGTTTAGGTTCCTTGGAACAGAGGAGGTACTGGAGAGTAGAGAAAAACAGTTTATTCTTTCTGGCCTTCATAGATAATAAATGTTTAGCAAAGTTCAAAATGTATGTTTCCCCTTATTCTATACTCTTTCCATGATACATTGCATATTTTCCCATAAATTAATCTGCTCTTGTTGCCCATTGTCCACCTCCTTCACACCTGCTTTTGCGTTGAATGCCAATCCACTGTTACTTATTACTTATCCTATTATTTCAAAGCCATCCTATGCATTTGTCATAAATAAACTCAACACTTCTACTGTACAGAAAAACACATAACATAAAATTTACTATCTTAACCATTCTAGGCATACAAGTCAGTAGTGTTATTAAAGGATATTGATATTATTGTGAAACAGATGTCCAGAGCTTTTTCACCTTGCAAAACTGAAACTTTATACCTATTAAAGAACTTTCCTTTTCCACCTCTCCTCAGACCCTTGCAGTCACCATTCTATTTTCTGTTTATAAATTTGACTACTTTTGATATTGTATATAACTAGAGGCATACAGTATTTGTCCTTTTGTGATTGGCTTATTTCAGTCAGCATTATTTCCTCAAGGTTGGTCTATGTTGTAGTATGTGAAAGTATTTCCTCACTTTTAAAGCCAAATAATATTTCATTGTAAGTATATGCCACATTTTGTTTATCTTGTCATCTATCAGTGGGCATTTGTGCAGCTTTTGGCTCTTGTGAATAATGCTGATATGAACATGGGTGTGCAAATATCTCTCAGAGACACTGCTATTAATTCTTTTGGTTAGCTACCCCGAAGTAGGATTGCTGGGTTATATAGTAGTTTTATTTTTAACTTTTTAAGGAACATCTATACTCTTTTCCATAGTGTTTGCACCATTTTAGAATTTCATCAAAAGTACACATGGGCTTCAATTTCTCTTCATCCTAATCAATACATTACTTTTTGTTATTTGAATGTTAGCCATTCTGGGTGTGATGTCATATCTCATTGTGGTTTTGATTTACATTTCTCTGATGATTAGTGAACATCTTTTTATACGCTTGGTGGCATTTGTATATCATCTTTGGAGAAATCTTTATTTAAGTTCTTTGCCCATCTTTAAATCAAAATAATATTTGATTATTTTGTTGTTAAGTAGTAGAAGTTCTTTATATATTCTGATTATTAACCATTATTTTATATTATTTTGTTGTTAAGTAGTAGTTCTGTATATATTCTGGTTATTAACCACTTACTTTATATGATTTGGAAATATTATTTTCCCATTTTGTAGGTTGTCTTTTCATTGGGTTGACTGCATCCCTTTATGTACACAGTATTGCATATCTGATGTCATCCTATTTGTCTATTTTGGTTTTATTGACTGTGCTTTTTGTTTCATATCCAAGAAATCATGGTCACATCCAATGCCATGAAGCTTTCCCCTTGTATGTTATTCTAGGAGTTGTATAGTTTTGGGTCTTATGTTTAGTTATTTAATGCATTTCGAGTTAATTTTTTTTAAAAAAAGCTTGATTTTATTCTTCTAAATGTGGATATCCAGTTTTCTCAGTATCATTTGTTGAAAAAATCTGTCATTTCCTAATTGAGGGATCTTGGCACACTTGTTAAACATAATATGATCATGTGCATGGTGGTTTATTTCTGTACTCTATTTTATTTTGCTGGTCTATAGGTCTGCTTTTATACCAGTACTGCACTGTTTTTACTACTGCAGCTTTGTAATATGTTTTGAAATCAGTTCTGCAAAGTTGGAGTTTGAATTTTTCTAAATTTTCTTCTTTTTCAAAACTGTTTTGGCCATTTGGTATCCTTTGATATCATATCTGATTTTTAGGATAAAATTTTCTATTTCAGCAAAACATATTGTTGAGATTCTGATTGAAATTGCATTGAATATGAGATCACTTTGGATGTATTAACATCTTAACAGTGTTAAGTGTTCCAATTCAGGAACAAGGGATCATCATTTCTTCTTTAATTTCTTTCAGCAGTGTCTTTAGCTTTCAGTATAAAAGTCTTTCACTTCTTTAGTTAAGTTGATTTCTAAGCGTGTTTTTTGATGCCATTATAAATGGAATCAGTTACCTTTTTTGATTGTTTGTCGTAAATGCATAGAAATGCAAGCTATTTTTGTGGTTGATTTTATATTCTATGACTTTGCTTAATTCATTGACTAGTTCTAACAGGGTATTTTTTTGTGTGAAATAATTAGGATTGTTTATGTATAAGATCAAGTCATTTGCAAACAGTGAGAATTTTACTTCTTTCTGTCCAATTTGGATGGCTTTTATTTTATTGTATTTTGTCCCGTTGCACTGGCTAAGGCTAAGAATGGGAATCCTTGCCTTGTTCCTTATCTTAGAAGAAAATATTTTCATTTTTCACTATGGATTATGACATTATGTGTGGGATTTTCAAACACAGTTTTTATTATGTTGAGGTAGCTTCCTCTGGTTCCTAGATTTTTGAGTGTTTATTATGAAAGGGTGTTGAAGCTCTCAAATGCTTCTTCTATATCAACTAACATGATCATTTGGTTTTTGTTCTTTATTCTGTTTATGTAGGTATTTGAAGTTTCTTAGTTTTAAAAATACTGAACCCACAGAGTCTATAAGTTACAATTGTTTTTATGAATGTTGCCCATCCATATATTTAGGAAATCACTTATGGGTAGACTAGAAATGGATCTATAGGATCTTTATATATGTGAATATATTACAATGTACATGCTTCTGAACTGTGGACTGCCCATTTTTCATTAAAAAAAGTTGTAAAATTTTACAAATTTTTGTTAAAAGTATAGCTAATTTGTTCTTTTAATGTAGTTAGACTAAATCAAGAATAGTAAGTGAACTATGATATGATCTGTCTCTACATATTCATAGTGGCTCACTGAGAAGGTTTGGTAAGATCCTGCATTGCTTACTTGTCAGGATTTGGAGAAGAATAATTGATAACTTCCTGACCACAAAGAAAGAACAAAAGAATGAGTGACTAACTCCCTTGGAATGGAAGGGAGATTACCTTAGAAGACACAATAAAACGAAATTCATAATCTGTTTTCTGAAATTGAATTTATTCTCTCCAAGATATCATTTAACTTTTTAAATAGAATCTTTTTTTTGAAAGTTAGGACAAAATCAAACCCCAGAGACAACAATTTTGATTTTAGAAATAAATAAAGAAAATAGTAAATAATTTGTAGTACTGAAGTACTACAGAAATTTAATACTCCATTAATTTGAGTTTATGTAATTAATGTATCTGTTGGCTCATGCATAAAGTTAAAAGGATTTTCTCAATGCTACCTTGTAACTCATTTGTTTTCAACTACAGTGGCTTACCTGGAGTTGTGTCTTTGTTTTCAACTACAGTGGCCTACCCGGAGTTGTGTCTTATTAAATATGCACAAACTCTCACTTTTGATGGTCAATTCTCATAAATCACTAGCTATACTTCTCTGCTTTCTTTTCAGATAGTGTACATGGTTAGATTGCGTAGTAAAGAGTTCCAGTCTCCCCATTTGAATTAGTTGTATCTAAAGATCAGTGCCCTTTCCCTTACCTGGGAGCTACGGTAGTTAGTAATAAAATTACTCATAGATCATATTACTCCTCTGCTTACCATTTTACTGTAGATTAACAATTGTCCTCAGAGTAAAAGTTAAATTGTCTGGCTGGTGCTCAGATATTTTAGGGGTCCTCTCATTTCTGAGCTGTTGTGTTTCTCTGGAAACACTGTACTGCCAGTTACCCATATTTCTCTGATCTTCACTTTCTTCATGTGTGACTATGTCAACTTTCAAGTGAGTTTTTCTTTGATCACTCTATTTAAAAGCAGCCCATCACTGCACAATCAATATCCATCTTCTCACCTTTATTTTTCTCCATAGTACTTATTACTACCTGAATTATCAATCCTTTGTTTAATGTCCCTTTCCTCACATTTGAATATTAGAATCATAGAGGAAGGAATTTCTGTTTGCTTTATTTACTGCTATAAATCCAGACCTAGAACAGTACTTAGTATTTCCTAATGGAAGCTAAGTAGAGCTAAAAATCCTGTTTTTTTTAAATACAAATGTTAGTTTAAATGCATTTATGTTCACTTATTCATTTTGGAAAGGAATGTTCCATCATTATCTCAATTTAAAAGATATTATAACATTTTATTTTTTAATTTTAAATATTTTTATAGAAAGGTTTTTTGTTGTTGTTTGTTTTTGGTAAATCCACATACACACAACCCATACTTCTCAAACACTTGGAATAGCCTCCCAGTTCATTTAACTTTTAAACTCCCACTTCTTTAGGGCCATAAATGTTTGACATACATTAAAAAAATAGAAAGTATTTTTAGGGCACTGTATTCAGAACTTTAGGTCATGCATATTAGGAAAAATTAGTGAATATTTTACCACAATCTTGAGTCTCAACAGCTATCTGTAGTTTAACATTATTAGGACATTGATTAGGTTTTCTTATTTATTAATTTTACCATGAAAAATTGAAAAAATTTGCTTTAAATCGCCCTGTTTTGGCATTCTTTATTTTTTTTTCTTTTGACATTTGCTGTAATACTTAGACTTCTAAGAATACTTAGGTTAAATTAGTAGTTTAATTCAGAAAAATTCACCTATGTATATTTTGTTTGACTCTTACAATTTTGGTAACCTCAGCATTATTTATTGTAGGTTGCTATTAGGGAAATAGACCTCTATGAGGAATAATTATTTTGCAACTTGGTAATCTAAGGAATTCTTAGATCTGCTTGGGAAACCAAAAGAAATGCCATGGTGTACTTTGTGGGGGATTATAAGGTATTCCACATTTTTAAGAACATATATGTTTCTAGGAAAAAAATGAATGTCATCATTGACCTTATACTAGGCATACACATTTAACATGCATAATTTTTTTCTACTTTGATGAAAGTGTTTTGAAAGCCTGATACACTGCTTAAATCGCCCAAGGTGTATTTCTCCTTTGATTGACTTGAGTTTGAAATAAATAATTTTATAATTGTAAAGACTTTATGAGTTTTCATTTGGTGACTTAGATGTGGTTTGCTTCTGTTTTTTTTTTTTTTTTCCAGGGGGATGTTTCTAGATACCATTCTCCCCTCCCGTGATGATAATGGCATTCGACCTGCAATTGGTCAGCGAACTCGTCTAAGCAAAGGAGATATCGCACAGGCAAGAAAGCTGTATAGATGTCCAGGTATTGCACAACACAAACACAAGAGCATGGTTGTACTTGATTGTGCTCTTCCAGATGAACAACCCACAATTTGAACAACTGTTTTATTTGTCTCACTCCCTGTTGGCAAGTGACATGTACAGTTCAAAGTCAGTAATCATAAAACAAGGCAGAAGAGAACTCTGGAACACCTAATTGCTGTAAATAAAAACAAGTTGTTGAAATCAAAGTTCATGCACAGGGAGAGTATGCTTTATTTCTTTTAATTTAATGAGTGAAAGAGCAAAATAGGATGGTTGCTTAATAGTCATTAATTAAGTAGTTGCATGATTTCATAGTCAAATACTGTTTCCTTTCTAACATAAAAGCATATCCCTTATTTGAACTTCAGAACTGGATCCTGGATGATCTTTTCTTGCAAGTACCATCATTAATGGCGTAGAAATTACAATTTTATCAATAGGAATGTATAACTTTTTTGTAAAAAAAATGTTCTAACCAGTTGCAAGTGAACTACTCTGGGTTTTTCCCCTAAATAAAGTTTCAAAAGCAGATTCATGAAAGGCCTTAATGTTCTAAGGGAACACTATGTTTTCATGGTCCAAGAAAGAAAAAGATTATGTTTTCCAAGTTAGAACTCTAGACTCTATGCACCTCCAGTGTACTCACAATATTTGAAATATCCTACAGCAAACAAACATGTTTAACTTGGTACAACACAGTCTTTTCCAAGTTATTTGAGGAAACCTTCTTTTTCCCAATGTTTACTTGTAAAATTTACTTTTGGAAGTATTGTTCTACATACCTAAGATTGCATATATAATAAAATAATTGCTGTAAAAGTTTTAATTGTCTATGAATCTGATAATCTTTGCAGAAAATCAGAGAAATGATGAATATCTAAATTGTTGGAGTTTTATATAGATAATTGTTTATGTTTATGTATTAAGTTATTGGAAAAGTCTTATATTACTTAAATTTTTATAATTTCTGGTGTCAGTTCAGGGAACTTTTCATTTTGGCTATAGGAGAGGGCTAGCTAATTCATCTTAAAAATTGAATATGTACACATTGACATACGGTATAGAACCCTTATGTCGAACAGTGAAAGACTCAAGTGCAAGCAAGAAAATGTGAGCTTGTTGAATACTCCCAGGAAATACCTAAAAAGTTCATAATTCAGTATGAAATGGTACTTAATTCATTGATTCAACCCAGTGGATTCTGTTGACATTTCTGCTGAGAGAAGGGATTTCCTATTCCTTAAAACTAGATTTGTTAAAGAAAATTGTAAGAAATTATTTTTTTTCAATTTTACTCTAATTATTAGTTTTCTTGTAACTTAGGACTATTAAAGTTTTAGAAGGGCAGTTGATATTTTCAGAATTGAAAGCTGTATGTAAAATCTTTTACATCATAATGATTCAGCATTGAAAGTGAGTTTTCAAATTTTTTTGTATTTAAATATATCTAATTGTCTGCCTATCTAATTTTTCTATGTACCAAAAGACATTTCTACTTAATATTCATTAATTTCTTCATGCTGCTTACTTACGTTGCATTCATATTTATATAAATGCCTTTAAAATATTTTATGTATGCATGTAAGATACACATGTATATGTGGTATATTTTTTAAAATTCAAATTTCCATAAAAAATGAATTTATAAGAGAATGATACCACTATGACAAAAGATATGGGTGATGCTTGACTAATGTCTAGTAGCATTGGGCATATATTTTTTAACTTTTAAAAAGCAAAAATTATTTTATTAGTAGCAACTAAATAAATGAACACTTTGTGTATAAAACTATCTTGATTATATCTCTAAATGTAAGACTATATACACTACATTTGAGAAGTACACTGGAGATTCATATGCACACTGAATTGTAGAAAATTCAGGAAGAATAAAAAACTAGTTAACCTTATGATACTGTAATTTAATTTTTAGCCTACAATTCTTGGATATTTCAGCTATAAACAGGAAGATTATTAGAAGATTATTAGAAGCATAGTTTCTACTTTAGATTTCAATTGTGTAAAATACATTAATGGGCCATTTTCTTACTTTAAATATAGAAATAATGTATACATTATTTTGTTTAATACAGTAAAACCACATTTGTGAAAGCACTATGATCTGTGAAAAAATATATTTTATATTTATGAAACAGTATAAAAAGCAAGTTACTGTATTACAGCTAATAAAATAACTGGAGTAAGTGATATAGAAATGT